AGGAAGAGCTGCGTTACCATCTAAGCAGGAGCCCACTAGTGCCCTGAACTGGATGCTCCAGGACTGGTCCTGAAGCGCTGCGTGCCCGGCTGGAGGTGGCACAAACGTTCCCTGCTGGAACCGTGAGTGCAGGGAACCGGTGACCCAGAGCTTAGGGACAAAGAACAAACCTCCGTGGTTGCCATTTACACCCCTCTCCTCACCTTGTACTGCTGAAAGTGCCAAGAGAGCAAACTTTCCGGCGGTCTGAGTGTCTGGAGCGTTTGTCCTTGGCAGGAGAAATGTAACTTATTCCATCAGCGTTCCTCGCCCTCACCACCTGAGCACCGAGATCTGGCAGCTTTTAGCCATCAAAGGAAAAGGCGTTTCTCTCCCCTGCCCCCTCTCGCTGACCCTTGCCTACCTGTGCCATGAGTGTGGGGCTGTGCGTTCTAATCCCGGAGAGCCTTGGGGTCCTCGCAGTCAGGACCTCGAGCTCTCGGCTCTCTTTGCTTTAATCACTGAATACATAATAAAGTGAAATAGACTTGACCAGGATCAAGAACACCTGCAAGGGATTTGGCAAAATTGGGTCTGAAAGTCTAGAAGAGTTTTGAACTGACTACCCTGCGTGATGGAAGGGTTGAGCATCCGCTTGTATAAGGCCCTTTGGGTTTGCTCACAGCCCAGCAGGGAGCAAAGGGAGTCCTGGCCAGAATCTCTGCAGGAAGAAAATCTTGGTCCCTGAATCTCGAGGCAGTGGGCGCTGGACACGATGAGTCTTCCCAGGGTCTGGCTGGAGATCCCTCCTGCGTAGTCCCCGCACGTCTCCGGGGAATCTACGCGTCCAGTCTGTTCCTTTCCGTCTAGGGGCGCGCTCGACCTTGAGGACGCCAATGCCCCTTCCCATCTGCCCCACTGCGCTCGCGGAGCCAGGCCCTGGAAAGCTAACTGTGGTGCGGCCTTCTCCGGAGTTCCCCTGGCCACAAGGCCTGTCCGATGCGACAGCAACCTTGCCTCCGAGGCTCGGACTCTGCCGCGTGTCATGTCGTGTCGTAACCAAGTGATTCGCTTAAGCCTTGACTTCCTCGGTATGGATGATTCTGGGACCACCTCGCAGGTGGATTCCCAGGAATCAGAGAGGTAAGGACAGTAAACGGCTTGGCAGAACGCCGGCTCAGACATGCTCAGAAAATTAACACTGGCAATCGCTTTCTCCTCTAGACTGTAAGCCCCTGGAGGACAGGCACCCCATGTATTGCACAGTGCCTGGCACAAGGAAGTTCCCGGAGTGTTCCACTGAAACTCTCAAGCTCACGGGGAGAGTGCGGGGTAAAGCGAGGGACTGCTAAAGATGGAAAACCGAGACAATCTCTGAGCTGAAGGCTAAAGAAGTGAGAGTGCCAGGAGTGTCTCCCTCTACTCCGGAGAAGCTGAAGTCAGAGGAACCCACCCACTGTGCATGGGAGCAGAGACCTGGTAAGTTTTCTCTGGGGTTTCCATTGTGTCATTTTGCCAGGTCTACGCAGAAAATAAAAATCAGCTCCAAGGACACAGACAAGGGATCTGATGCCTCCGCGAGTCCCTGGTGGCTGCAGTCCGGGGCGAGCAGGGAAAACCAGTGTTAGGACACCAGCAAGGAAAAAGGATCAGGCTAGAGCTGTTCTAGGAAGCTGCAGGATCGTACCGGAGGACAAGAGCACTGTCAGCTTGGTAACAGAATCGCAGAGCTGCAAGATTCTTCTGGTCCTGTTTTGGACGAACCCCAAAGGAATTTGAAAGTAGAGATGAAAACACAAAGGGATGGTACAGAAAGTGGCAACCCGCATCCCCGGTACCCTCGACGAGAGTTCAGAGTGAGGGGCATCGCATCGGGCAGTCTAGCAGCAGCACTTGTGGCAGGGGAGTGGCGAAGTGAGTGAGAATGAGCCTGGGCTGCTGTGCGCTAAGGGCCCTGGGGCGCCCACCCGAGATCCCTACCAGCAGGGGCATCCCTCCAGGCAGGCTTTCCATGCTGTGAAGGTCACCCAGCAGCTGGGCCAGGGGAAGAGCTGGAGTCCTGACCCAGGCCAGCCACCTACAACAGACTTGCCTGCTCCAGTTCGCGGTCTGCTGGAGCCCCCGGGGGTGTTCAACCGAGGCTTACCCTAAATACCCCTGTGATCTGCGCTATGGCAAAAGAGAAGGCAGCTGGCTGATAGGGAGGGTGGGGGCACCTAACTCAAAGGAAGTTGTTTCCGTCCTCCAGCTCTGGGTTCATCTGTACGATAGGGATGATGACAACTTGGTCCCTGCATGGAGTTGGGTTTCCATTGGAGGAAGATGGATAGACTCCTAAGACTCTACAGCCTGGAGAACGGGCTCCACACTGGGAAGGTCTCAATGTGGGGTTGAAACATACAAGGCCAGAGCAGAGACAACTAACTCTGCTCTTTTCCTCACCCTTCTCCAGGTCCTGGCAGAGTAAAAGATCGCAGGGAGGGGGTGGGTGTGGACATGGCTCAAGTGAAGAGCACCTGCTTAGCAAGTGGGAGGCCTTGAGTTCAAACATACACACACACACACACACACACACACACACACACACACACACACACGAGACTTGGGGAGTGGGGAGGGCTGAGAGAGAAAACTGAAAACTAAGAAGGGAAAGAGGGTGGCCTGAGGCAGAGGAGGAAGCTGGTAACACTCACACAGCTTTTTCCCAAAACTGTACCTAAACTCCTTTTTCACTTCTCTTGGATCTATCTCTACCAAAAGAAGCTGAGCTTGGTGGCTGTGAGGCACAAGTGTGAGGCACTAGAATCTCCAATTCAAGGCCAGTCTGGTCTACACAGCAAGTTCAAGGCCAGCCTGGGTTACATGGTGAGACCCTCTATCAAAACAGTGTGTGTGAGGGAATGGCTCAAGAACCAGGCACAGAGTTCAAACCCCTGTACCACCAAACACAAAACAAAACAAAAATCTCTACAGAGAAGGGCATTGCTCTGCTCTGAGCTGTGGACATAGTGCCAATTCTCTAGGGTACTTGACTTTGGACCACAGTAAGGAAATCAGATATTTCAGCTCAGTAACCAGATTATTTTGGCAAAGCTAGATTTGTGTCTGAATTATCAGACTACCTCAAGTCTCTGCTTGATTCTTCTCCAAAAGCAATTGTCGGTGTTCTCTCCTCCCTTTTGCCTTCACCCCCATTGTCTCCAGTGCTTTCTCCCACATATTCATTCCAGAAAGATGCAGTTTTCCAAATCCCAGCTGACCTGAATTTCAGGCTGTTAGTGGGAGTTTTTGAAGAAATAAAATACAACAAACTTGTCACTGCAAGAAGTCTGGAGGACATGCTTGCGGTAGGAAGGAAGCAGCAGAGCAATGGCAAGTCTTTGTCAGTTACATTTTTAATTTTTCTTTTTCAGGGAATTTTTTTTTTGTTAGGTCAAAAGAGCTCCGCAGCGATGACAGGGAGTTGGCACTTGAAGCCAAGACACCAAAAGGCAATCTGGATCAAATATCAAGAGGTTAAACTGGCCACCAAGCAGCAGGCAGAGAGCAGTTTAAGGGCAATGCAGTCTGGTGGCAGTGAGTCCCACCAGGAAGCATTTCCAATAAGCTCACCAAAAGGGTGGCTGGGAACTAAATCCAAGCAGACTTGAAGGCGCATTACCTGCCTCATTATTCCGTTGTGTGAATACTGGAGTTTTAATTACACACTTGCGTTTTCTGGAGAAGAAGACCAAAGATCATATTTTTCAAAGTATCAACTTGTTTTCCATTAGGCAGTTGTTGTAACAAGTTCTTTCAGCGACATGTTATGTCTTTAGGAAGGGATGCTTCAGATGGCGCGCACTAGCACAATTTTGTGGCTTTTAATTACTATTTTGTTCTTTTGGGGGGTTTCTAAGGCTGGCGCCTGGGCGTGATTAGACCGTCTACCCGGCCCGCCGCAACCTCGCATACAGTCCACTAGATGGCGCCACAAAGCAGGCGCTGCTTCAGTATCTTCAGACTTGGAGTCCAACAGCTCCAGGCGTGTGGCCGTCACCGTCCGGCCGGTTTCCAATCACCAGGATACAGAAAAGTCAATGTAAGAAATTACAATGATAGGGCCGAATAGGGTCCTAAAGTGTGACATTGTATAATATGATTTTAAGTGCACGAAAAAAAACTCTGTATTTGTTTTAACCAAGCAGACGTGATAGTATAGAGGGACAAATCTATTATCTCACTAAGTATTATTTTATTTCCTTTTTCGTAAAAATATCAAATTTTAATGGTGTTAGAATGAACTTTGAAACTACCTAGTCTGTCTAATCTACCTTTCCACTCTGAGGAAGCCCCAGGGTCTCTTTCCCGGTGTCAATTGCCCATCAAATGTACATAATTACGCACTCGCCTTGGTGTGTCAGGAAAGTACAAGAAGGAAAAGTGATTTCAAATATATTATTAGTAATAATACCTTTGGGCTTATATAGCTTTCCTCTCAAGCAACAAGGAAAAGCGTTTAAATATTATCCAATTAATTGTCCTAATATCCCTTTGAGTTGGTTAGGAAGCAGGTATTATTATACATGTTTATGGATAATTTAAATCAATTGATAGTGAATGCTGAGCGGTTGACAAGAGTTAAGTGCCAGACACTAGGAGGAAAAGCGGAGATTTGGCTCTGCTCTCTGAAACGCTTTATTTGATTAATGTGTTGAAAACTGACCTCGGACATGAGGTACAAATCTTTGGAATTGGCCCTTGCTCAGAGTAGGAGACCCCTCTTTTGCCTCTGGGGCGAAATTCGTATCTGTCTTCATATTCGGATCTTCTGTCCTGCTGCGGGCCATCCTTCAGCGCCCTGCCCACCACACACGCACACACACACACACACCCCACCCAGTCCCCCGCCTCTCCATTCACTTTCTGCGGTGGTCTGTATGCACCCGCCGCCACCGCAGCCACAGAGCCCGCCATGTGACACCCGCCCCCCGGCCGCGCGGTCCCCGGGCGCCCAGAGCCCTGTTGCCCGTTGCTTCCGATTGGCTGTTGCTAGGTGACGTCGCCTGCGCTCACGTGACAAGTGTTAAATGCCCACCCTGCAGGAGCCCGCCTGGCAGACAATCGTAAAGCTGCTCGGGGCCGCTCACCTGCTCCCACCTCCAGGAGTCCCGACCCGGCCCCGTCACCTCTGCCCCCTCCACTGCCCGCCCCCCGCCTGAGCCCGCTCTGGGCAAGGAGCCGAGAGGGCCGAGAGGCCGAGAGAGGATGAGGCCAGCGGCAGCTGTCCCAAGCAGCGCACGGTGATCGCCTCCCCCGGAGGAGGAGGCGCCTAGACCGTTGCCTCATTTCTTGTTTTCCTCCCCCCCTCCCCGTAATTACATTGGCTGCTGGAAGGGACCTGGAGAGACAGAGGAGGCGCCTTGCGTCCCCCTCACGCCCGCCACCCGTGCTTTCCTGTCCCGGGCCAGGATGACTGGAGTCTTTGACAGTCTGGTGGCTGATATGCACTCGACCCAGATCACGGCCTCCAGCACGTACCACCAGCACCAGCAGCCCCCGAGCGGCGGCGGCGCCGGCCCGGGCGGCAGCAACAGCAGCAGCAGCAGCCTCCACAAGCCCCAGGAGTCGCCGACCCTTCCGGTGTCCACAGCTACCGACAGCAGCTACTACACCAACCAGCAGCACCCTGCGGGCGGCGGCGGCGGCGGCGGCGGCGGGGGGGCCTCGCCCTACGCGCACATGGGTTCCTACCAGTACCACGCCAGCGGCCTCAGCAATGTCCCTTACTCCGCCAAGAGCAGCTACGACCTGGGCTACACCGCCGCCTACACCTCCTACGCGCCCTATGGGACCAGTTCGTCCCCAGCCAACAACGAGCCCGGTATGCCTAACGCTAGCGTGGAGGGTGAGGAGTTAGTCTAGTCGCTGGGGTGAATGGGGTAAATATAGTTGGGGAGAGGGCCGTCTGGAGCCCTGGCCTTGCACCGCCTGCTTCTGCCCTTTAACCTCCCCACTCTCCGATCTCCCGCGAGTCGCAGTTTCTGTCCCTTGGTTCTCAGCTGGGGGGGACCCAGTAGTCCCAAGGGCCGAGTGGGCGCGCGGTGCACGCCTCGGGTCACCGCATTCCTTGCTACCTACCTCTCCTTTCTCTCCCTTGTGCGCCCGTCCCCCTTCACTGGAGGGCTCAGCTCCCAGATTCCGCGCGTGTGCTGAAGTTGCGTGGGTAAGCCGCGCAACACCTCCAAGGCCCGCCTCCCGGCTCCAGCCAAGTTCCCACCCGCCTCGGCGAGAACTTCAGGACTCCAGGGTTGGGCGGTTCTTACGATTCCATTTCGTTGCAGAGAAGGAAGACCTCGAGCCTGAAATCCGAATAGTGAACGGGAAGCCAAAGAAAGTCCGGAAACCCCGCACCATCTATTCCAGTTTCCAGCTGGCGGCTCTTCAGCGACGTTTCCAAAAGACTCAGTACCTGGCACTGCCCGAGCGAGCAGAGCTGGCGGCGTCTCTGGGCCTCACTCAGACTCAGGTGGGGCTCGCTCCCTGCGGGGGCGAGGACGGCGCTGGCCCAGGTTGGCCGGGGCGTAGGCGCGTTCAGGACAATGTGGGGTTTTAAAAAAGTGTATTCTAGGTAGTTTTTTAACGATTCCAAGGCCCGCGCCTCGGGCAACCTAAAATTCTAGGCCCAAAGCTGAAAATCCCCACGGGGATGCCGCGTGGGAGGGAAGAAAAGGCATGGCGGTGGGCAGAAATCCGGTACCACGCTGCAGATAAAACGCGTGCAACAACTGATCTCCTGACACTCTCCCGGTGTCACCACACTGCACAAACGCACGCAGTCACATACAGTCAGAGCACGCACAAACACCAGCTTTTTGAGATTACCTCCAAGGGCGCCAGGAGGCCACCTGGAGCCGGCGGTCTTTCTCTGTTCCCTCCCCTAGCTGCCAAAGACCCAGGTTCCTCTACTAATGCCCAGGTCCTTTTTCCACAAAGGTCAAAATCTGGTTCCAGAACCGCCGATCTAAGTTCAAGAAGATGTGGAAAAGCGGTGAAATCCCCTCGGAGCAGCACCCTGGGGCCAGCGCTTCGCCACCTTGTGCCTCCCCGCCCGTCTCGGCGCCGGCCTCCTGGGACTTCGGCGCGCCGCAGCGGATGGGGGGCGGCGGAGGCCCGGGCAGCGGAGGCAGTGGCGCGGGCAGCTCCGGCTCCAGCCCTAGCAGCGCGGCCTCGGCCTTTCTGGGAAACTACCCATGGTACCACCAGGCCTCGGGCTCCACCTCTCACCTGCAGGCCACCGCGCCGCTGCTGCACCCCACGCAGACCCCGCAGCCGCACCACCATCACCACCACCACCATCACGGCGGGGGGGGCGCCCCGGTGAGCGCGGGGACGATTTTCTAACCACCCCCACCCCAAGACCGCGCCAGAGACAGAACATACATTGGTGATCCTCAGTGCTCACCCTCACGGCCACAGCCGGTGGGTCCCTGCGACGACCCCGGGCCGCCACCCAGCCGTGCGGGAGTTGCGGCCTGCGATGGCGCGCCCAAGCCCCGCTCCCTCGCCCGGCCACCACGCAGCTGGGAACCTGGAGGCGTCTCCTCGCCCCGCGGGCTCCGCCCGGGGGAACAGGACAGCTGTCCGGCGAAGGCCGCCCCCAGGGCCGCATTCCGATCTGAGCCCGGACCATCGGCCATTTTGAGCCCCGCCTCGGACTTGCTTCCTCTCCTGTCCCCGCCTGGCGAGGCCGTCCGGCGCCTTTGTCGCCCCGGGCCTTGAGCTGGGTTACAGAGAGGGACGCCTGCCCCGCCCGCGAGGCTTCCCGAGCCCTCAGAAGCTCCTTTCTCCTTGCCCGCCTCTGGGCTCAGCTCCAGTCCGCTTCGGTTATTGACCTCCCGGGGTCCCGCCAGCCCGCCCTCCCTTGGTGCCCCCGTGACCCCGGCGTCCCCGCCCTTGGAGCCCCCAAGAACGCCCCTTTAGCTCTCTCCTCATCCATCACCAGTGGAGTTTTTTTATTTTTATTTTTTTAAAAGTTTAGGTGCCTTTGCGGATGACCTCATTTTGATGTTGGGGAAAAAAAGGATTTTTTAATATGTGGACACTGCAAAAAAATGTGTTTAAATTATCTTTTTTAAACTTTATTCAGGATCATTGCCTGGACTTCGACACAGTTTGTAAATAAAGGTGTCTGTGCAGATTTTCCCACTGATTTATTTGTATAAAAATTCTCATCTTTTCAGGCTTTTTTGTAAACCCCCAGTTATGAAAACTGCGGTTTAGCGGTGACCTCAGCAACCCCTTCGTTTTATTTTTCCCTTTGAAAAAAAATTTCTCAGTTAAATTAAGCTACTGATTTGAATTTGTTTTATCGTATCCTAAAGTCTTTGTTCTTGAAATGCAAGGTATTTTGGGGTTATTTATTATGAAAGCGACATGCTCTTAATGTTGATTTTACAATATGAAGAGATTATTTAAATAAATTATTGTTTTCATTGGAGTGTGTGCTTTTTCCTTGGTGCCAGGGTTCCTTCCGTCCGCCACGCGCTCGGAGCCGGAGCGGCTGTCCAGGCCCGGAACCCGGTCAGCCGAGAGCGACATTTGCACCTTTCGGAGTCTGCGAGCGCCGTCAGGTGCGGCGGTGGGGGGGCGGGGGAAGGGGACGCGGGCGACAGGCGCGCGGGCCACGGCGATTCAGCTCCGCCCCCGTTCGAGTCCCCGCGCGGGGTTCGTCAGCCCGCGGCGCCGTGACTCACTCAGCGCCGGACGGCTCCAGCCTCCGCCCGCCCGGCCCTTCTGGCGCCGGCGCCACCGCCCCGCGCCTGGGCGGTCTCCTCCGCCGCCCCCGCATCCGCCATGCAGGACAGGCGGAGCATCTGCGCCGCCGCGGGGAACCTGCTGTGCTCGGCCGGAGCTTCGCCACTGTCTGCGATCAGACCCCTATATTGGTCCCTTCCCTCGGTATGCCCTGCGGCCCGTTGGAAACTGGGCTGAGCCCTGAACTCTTGAGTCACCCTTGGGAGGCACGGTTGTCTGCTCTGGAATGCAGGGCGACTCTGGAGCACAGTGCTATGCTAGCACACACAATCACACACTGACACACACCCTCACAGCCACACTTACGCGCTCACTGTCACACGCACAAGGACATACACTACTCTTAGAGTCAATCACACTTATACATGTAACATTGGCAAATTCATGCACACTCATTCACACTCACGCAGATACACTGATTCGTATGCACAATCACACACGTGCAGAGACTGAGGCACCCTGCTGTGAGAGTGGCATTCTTGCACCTCACACCCTTGCAAGGGGAAGGTCCACACATCACTCAGCTCTGCTTTCTACCAGGGGTCCCATACAACCAACTTCCAGAGTGGAAGTCACCCTACTTTCTGGTATTTGCTGCAAAAAACAAGGGGAGATGTGTAACTCAGGCCTGAACTAAAAGTCCCTTTCCCTGAAAGCACTGGGCCTCCACTTAGAAGCTTCCTAGCTTCCATCATTGACTATGTGACCTTGGGCAACCCTCTTAGCCTCTCTGTGTAACAGTTTGCAGATCTATAAGATAGGAGAGATAATAACAGCTGTGGCTCAGAGTTGTTGTGAGCAACAACTTAATGAACCAATGATGTAACAGTGCCCGGCACATGGTAAGAATTAGGTAAATTTTGGCTTCTTAGTACTCGGTACTAAGTACTGTTTCATCACAATACCCTCAATCGGAGAAACGTGACTTTTTTGCCTGTGATCGTGGGTCCAGAGTTACCCAGAGGCCACCTTCACCTTGAGTGGAAGAGCAGCACTCTGAGTTGGGAGAGCTCTGGTCCGGATCTCCAGAGGCCTTGAATCTCAACCACTCCCTGCAAGAGACCAGCCTCCACTGGAGAGAAGGCTGGGCACAGGCCAGAATTTAGGCCTCCTCTCCTCCCGGTTACTGAGGCCATCTATGCCTCTCATCTGTGTCTTCAACTCATCTCTGCCAAAAACAGATATGAGGTAGAGGTGACTTTCGGGGTTCAGAGTCATCATCCTGAGGGGGATCCTGACTTTTCTGGCCAAATTATTTTGGGGCCTGCTCTAAGTCAGATCCAGAGAGTTGGGGCTCTAGTGAAAAGGCAGCTGTTTCTTTATTGCTTTCCCAGCCTAGGGAGGCCTGGTCTGAAACCCGTTGACCTGTAATTCTATCAAATCTCCGTTCCTGTCCCCACCACCACCCTGATTACAAATTTCGTGGTTTTTTTTTTTTTTTTTGAGTGCCAGGAGCCGATGCCAGCCTTCCTCCTGAGGTTGCCTGTGCCCTCCCCTCCTATGCGCGCACTCTCCTCCCCCCTCCCGAAACCAGCGGGGAGAGACGGGGCAGTAAATTGGCTGGTGTCGAGGATCTGCAGCAGACAAGATGATTAAGAGGCCTATGTCGGGAGCGCCCGGGGCAGGGAATGTCAGCCCAAGTTGGAATCACGCAACAGGCCTTGGCATGAGCCGAGCCTGGGAGCCGGGAGGGCAGGCGGCCCCTCTCTGGGGTGGGCTGAGGCCCCACAGACTCGCCGGAGTCACCTAACCTAGCACTGGGCGGCGGCGGGGTCGGACTGGGCTACGGCACGCCTTTCCTCCCGGAGCCCGCAAAGCCGAGGGCGGGAGAGTGCAGGGGCCAGGAGAAAGGGGCGTTTCCGCAGACCTGGAGAAGGGTGAAGAGAAGAGATCGCAGGGACGCGCCCGTGTCCCAGAAGTGAGGGGGCGGGGAGGCGGCGGGGTGGGCTGGGGGAGAAACAAAGCCGGCTTCCAGGAGAAGGGGGCCGGCTCCAGTCCCGCCGGGGGCGATGTGTTGGCAAGCCTTTCTCACAGTCTCTCCGCCCGCCCGGAGACGCGGAGCCCTGTGATCAGCCCGCCGCCGAGCAGACACGCTCCCCCCGCGCTTAACAGAGCCCTGCAAAGCACGAATGAAAAATGGAAATGGGAAGCAGCGATCTCAGCTCCCTTACGCTGGGAAAACAGCCGCGCACGGAACACACATAAATCTTCATTGTAATTCCCTTCCATTTGCTCGCGTAAAATATCAGACCAGAGACAGGATTTGACAAGCGCTGGGAAGCAGAGGGTAGGGAGGGGGAGCCGAAGAGTGAGAGGTGCCCGGCTCTCCGCACTTCGGCAAAGCGCTGGCACTGAGTTCTAGTGTCTGCTGCGGGTCGTCGGGGCGATCCCGCGTCATCCTCCCCTCCCAGCCCCGCGTGAGCTCGGCCGCGCGCCCTTCCGTCCCCGAGGTGGCACCGTGCGGGGCGCAGAACCCTGTCCCGCTGCTTCTAATTCCTGCCGGCCGCATCACAGCTCCCGGCCGGGGAGGATAGAAAGGAGAGCGAGCGGATCGCAGGCCTAATCAGCCCTGCTGCAATGTGGGACCGTTTAAGAGGATCCCCTCGGCCTTCTTTCAGGATCACTTGTGAAAATTGTGAATATCCGTCCGGAGTAAGGATTTCCGAGACTGGTGGGGCGAGTTTGGGGGAAGTATCAGGTTTAGTGGGGGCGGAGAGCGCGCGGAAAGACCAGAGCTTTGTTTACAAACAGTTCAGCTGCAGTAGACGTGGGGCGGAAGGAGGAGGTAGAGAAAGAAGCGCCCAAGTGGTCTAGTGGTTCCCTCTGTTCTCCCCAAGGAGAACTTCATGGAGCAACTCCTCCCTCCCCTTGCTTTTCAGAAAGTCTCTTTTATAGACAATGTAAAAACCGGGCACATCAGCCCCACTCCAGGCGACCCCAGCACCAACTCAAAAGTTACAAGCCAGCTCCTTTCCCACCGGGGAACAGCGACCACCAGTGGCTTTAACCTGTTTAGGATCAACGATTTCTTTGAGAAGGAAGCTACATAGCTCTCCTCCAATAAGTACAGGCAACCTCTTCGAATTCGACTTTGGAGCCCAGGATCATAGAAGCGGTTGGGTAGGGCGCTAGCCTAGGGGCCCTTGGCGCCAGGAGCAGCTGAAGGACTGAGCTCTCCCGAGACTGGCTGCCTCTCTTAGGGTCGTGGCACCCAAAGCAGCCCCAAGGAGGCTTCCCCGCAGGTCTCCCGGGATCTGCCCTGCAAGACACACACACACACACACACACACACACACACACACACACACTCACACACCAGTACAGGCGGATGTGCAGTCCACACATACCTCCGAGACCCCCGCCCCCCGTCCCGTCCCCGCGGGGAGTTCCCCTCGCGGGGACGGGTTTGGCAGTGATTGCCACATTACAAGATGTTACATTCCGCCCTGGGGCCTGGCGCTGGGTGGGGCGGGGGAGACAATGTGTTTCTGAAAAAAAAAAAAAAAAAGAGCAGGCAGGTCTTGGAGGAGCAGCCACTTGGCGCCTCCACGTGAGAACGCAGAGTTTCCAGACAGTCCTCTTTCCCTAGGGTCGCTCTGCTCGGGCTCCCCCTTCTTTTTCCCCAGAGCACAAACACTGCTGTGTCTTGGCATTTCCGGGCTTCTCCAGAGGCTTGCTTGGGGGTGTCCCCTGGAATTTTGGATGCCACTGGCTGCGTCTCGTGTGCTGTGGGGCCCCGCTCGAGGAGCGGGGATAAGGTG